ACCAAGGCACTGTTACAGCTCTCTGCTTTTTGCTGTTCTGGGACATCTACATGTACCCTGGAAAAATCTAGTCACTAGGAGGTTCATGTTAGTAAAAATTACCTTCTCCCTTTAATGCTACTAGGGGAAAACTGGAAAAAGATCTTTCTTTAAATTTGTAATTAGGAGCCACCAAAACTTAATCATTTATCATATTCAGTACAGAGCAGAGGTGTTATCTGAATGTCTGAACTGTGCATTTCTTGCTTTAACCAATTATCTCAGATTTATGAACTTTGTTTTAGGCTTAAGGACGAAATTTATTTAATGTGTTTTTACTCTTAAATTAAATTTGTATATGAAATATCCATCATGATGTCCTTTTCCCCAGGTAATACATACGAAACACAGTCTGGATACTGGGTGCCTCGTCTGGCAGGATTTCAATGAAAAATTATCCTAGCTAACTAAGATGAAGGAATGCAAAGGGAGAAACTATCTTAACTCATCTGTAACTGCTTTTCTGAAGAAACAGAGATACAAATAATAAATACAAATAATATTGAATAAAAAAAATGATATTATTAAAACAAATATAGAGATATAAATATGGAAACAGATATAAATTATTCAGAAAGTGCTCTGTTTAAATTGGTTTCTGTGGAGGATTTTGCTCAATGGTAGTTTACCTTCCAGTCTGAAGATAATAAAAAATCCAATTCCCTGTTGCTAGAGGCATTGTTATTTTATCTTAATTTGGAAAAAGTTGATTCTAATGCATTAAAATTTTTCTTCGAGTAAAAGAAAACAGACCAGCTCTATAATTAGAACAGTTTTCCTACAACTGGTTCCTGACACTACTTAACAAACAAAGCAACCAATCAAACAAAAAATTACTCCAAGTTATTTATTATTTCATTTCAAGGGGGATTAAAATTATGTCTTTACAGTAACTTAATAATATATTATTAGCATTCAATATCAGCCACAATGCTATAATTCATTCAGTATGTATTTCTCAGTTATCTGGTTAACCTAAAAATCCCAGACAATATCTGATTTTTGCTTCAAAAATCAGTCAGCTCTTTTGTATATTGTTTGCCTTTGAGGAGAAAAGAAACTTACAAAAGTAAAATTATGATACTTCCTCAAAAGACACATCTTCCCTGGGCTGTTTTGCCACCAGCCCCTCCCCAATCTGCAGCAATATTTTCAAAGATTCATTTTTCCTGTGGCAAATATTTCACTTGCTGTCAATTTCATTTCTTAGACCAATAAATCAAACCCACTAATTTCTTGAAGTATGGAAAAAGCAAGAACCTAAAAGGGAATACTTCATTTCTTGTGCGAAGAAGGAATTTGTGTAAGGGAGAGTGACGGAGGGATAGATTGCTTGTGACCGTGACAAAATAAACCAGTCAGGAGCTGGTAGACTAAGACCTCTGAGCCCTTAATTCAGAGCAGGAGCAACACCATTCGGTACCCAGCTGTACAGCAGGACCTCCAGAAATTCCTGCTTTGTAGTCAGTAACTTAGAAATTTGTAGCTGCAGGAGCTACTTGGAGGAGTGACCACCAGCTCCAGAGACCTTTCGCTGTTTCCCATGTCCAAACTCTCCTCTAGCTCATAATTTCACTGGGATGAACTCATTTACCCTTTAGAAAATCTCTTAGAATGGTCTTGCAGCACCTTTAATTGCACTGTGATCTGATCCAGACAGTTGGGAAAATGTTATTCATGCAGATTTGACCCAACTGGATCAACTGTGCAGGAAAAATACTATTACCCGTAGCTTGGTGTGTATGATTAACATAATGACATATGTCAGGTGCAATATAACTTGGTGAAAAAGTCTGCTGATGTACTGAACATATCCATTCACAGTATTGGTTCTTTCAAACTGGGCCTATGCAACTTATATGTTACCTACCCCAGTATACACAACACTTGTGTTAGGATTAAGAGAGTTACCACAGATAAAGCTCACTAAAACTTAAAGACAAGTCTAGCTTCAAGTGAAAGAGGAGGGTATTGGAGAGGATATCATTGCTCCTTAAAAACTGTATCTCTGTGTGCATCATTCTAGCTTCGACATCTAAATGACATCTAAATAAATCTGGCTCCATTCACAGATCATGATAGATCATAGAATCATAGATTACTAGGTTGGAAGGAACCTCAAGGACTGTCTGGTTCAACCGTTCTTGGTAAAAGAACAATTTGGAGAAGATGGCCCAGCACCCTGTCCAGTGTAGGTAGACTGATGAGTGCAAACACTAGCCATGCTTCTGAATTTCTTCAGGTTTGGTTTTGGATTTTTCTCATCCTATCTGGGTTCAAATCACTTTGTTCTAGAGATGCAGTCACCTCTGGAAGCCTTGTAGGTCTGTTTGTAGGGATTCACTTACCTTAATATGCTTAACTGCGAGGCAAACTGTAGTAGCAGGATACTAATCATTCACTAACAAATCTGACTGGTCCCTGGACAAAGCCCATCTCTTGTCATCCCAGCCTGGATTCGCAGAGATGCCAAAGAGTCCTTGAAAGTCTCATGGTAGTGAATGAGTGGGTGCTGTTTGAGTCCTGGAAGAAAGCTCTATATATCTCCATAATGCTCCTTGCTACTCCCTGAGTGTCTGCTCTCTAGGGACTCTCAAGCTAGTTAGACATCTAGTGTGACCCAGTGTGGTTGTTCTTATGTTTTTACAGAGTGTAAGCAGGACTAACGTGCATCCCTCTGCACCTGACTGTAGACATGCTCCTCTATACAGAGTCCTATTTCCTGACATAATGAAATGAGATAGAGTACAAGCTCTTTCCAGATTAGCTTTTTGATTTCTCTTTTAAATCATTAACAATTCACAAACATGACAAAAGCTTGCCCAGGAGATGACGAATGACCACCACTCCCCACTCACAAGTACTGGAAGACAGAAGTACATATTTGGAGTGAAAACAGAGTTCCATCAAGTGCTAACATTCACCTGGACATGGGAAGATTTCACATTTATTTCTGGATTATTCTGATGGCTCTTTTGTCTAGACTAGGCATTCATGGGTACATTTTGAAAAAAACCTAGAACAGGAGATATTCATTGTATTTAAAAGCACATTCACAGCAGTCCCTCTTAACCCTGCCTTCACCCTCTGCCTTATGGTGACTGAATCACTGAAAAAATGACTCACGACATTTTCCTTCTTGAGACTAGATTTGCATCAGAACCATTTTTACTGATATCTAATCATTTGATTTTAGACACTGGGAGAAATCTTTAATCCCAGACTAGGCACAATATTTACTTATATATTTAAACAGAGTTTTCAATCTGTAATTTATTTTTTTTTATTTAAAAAGGAACCAGACAAAATCTACACTTTACTCAAGCAGTAACAGAAGAAAAAAATAACATCTCTCATTACATCTGCTCAATGCTAAAACTACTTCATTTAAAATAACAGCAGTGTCAAAAAATAAAACAAATCTTAACCATAGCTACATATTTAAGCTTTCCTTTTGCAATTGCTTGAGGCTCAGTAATGCACAATATTGAAAGTGAGTGTTATGAAATTCTGAATCTGGAGGTGAGCAGACACTATGTGCCACCTACTCTACCATTTTGCTTCAGAGATTTGACTTAATGAGAAATATACAAATGCAAATAAAATGGCTTTCCCCTCCTGGCATTTGGCAGGGATACAGGAGTGCAACAGAAGAGCAGAGTACCTAGAGACACTTGCTTCTCAGAACTGTGTTCAGAAAGAATAGAAAGCATTTAAATTCAAAACAAACCATCTGTGACAGCCCCTAAGCACTGCCTCATTTCAAAAAGTGCAAGTCTGGGAATGAAAGTGAAACTCTACGTAACCGTCAATTAAAATAATCTAATATCAACTTTTCTGCCTTTGAGGGGAGGATGGGCACAGGTTTTCTGGAAGCTCAAAATTTTCATTTCCTTAGCATATATTTTACGGTTCAGGAGAACTGAATCACATCTGTAGCCAACATATGTTACACACCCCATGGTAGAAAAGGTGATGGAAGAGGCACTATCATTGTGGCTCAGCTCTCAGCAATTCATATCCACGACTGTTATAAGAAAATGTAACTTCACATCAAAATTAATTATAAAAACATTTCTAAGGGAAGAGAGAATTCATATTAGAAACAAGGTGTTCACCATTCCCTATTTGTGAAATCTGAAATACTGTGTCTTAGACAGTTGCATTCAGAAATGAAAACCAGATCAGAATTACTCAGATCAGAAACAAACAAGCAGTGGCAGCATAGCCAGGGTAAGTAGAAACACATGGAAATTCCTGCTTGCCCAAGCACTACATATATGCTATACGTTGGCTGGCTACATCTTTGGATTTACAGGATCTAAATCAGATCAAAATACGGTCCTCAGAGCATTCAAAAGGCAGTTCTGGGAAAGCGTCCAGAGGAATTCAGTCCTTAACTATGAAGACTCTGTCATTTTATAAGATATCAGTTGCAGACTGAAAAAATGTATATTGTTAGGCAGTAAAATTACAGTTTTATTTCTTATTGAATTTTGAGCTACACTGCAAGTTGTAGAAAATACTCAGCTAATAGAATGTTATGTATATTTACTGAATCTGGAAAATACCCCGAGGACAGCAGCTCTCAGTCCTGCCAGGTTACTTTCCATAAGCATTGAGTTACACTTACACATGTGTGAATACCAAGTGTGTTTCAAGGCCTCCCATTTTATTGCTATTTAGTAAGCCATTTTGTCAGCTGAATGAGTATATAGTTATTTAAAAATGTGAAAACTTGAAAGGAATTTTAAATACTGTTTTATCAATATTCAGGTGTTTATTTATGGTTAAAATAAGATAGTACAGCAGCCGTCCAAACTCTGTTTGCCTTGAATATGAAAAATCATAGAATCATAGAATCATAGAATGGCCTAGGCTGGAAGGGACCTTAGAGATCATCTAGTCCAACCTCCCTCTTTTAGGCAGGGACGCCACCTCTCGACTAGACCAGGTAACACATGGGGACCAAGCGGGAATACCCCACCATAGTCAAAGTCTGGTTGCAGGATTGGACCATAACAGGGAGAAATCACTGTATGCTTTTTGAGCAAATCACGGACTTACTGTGAGCAGATCTACTGACAGATTTATTCCCAGGGCATGGCTGTGGCTGCTGAGATCTCAGCCTTACTTCTTTACTTCCAGGTACTCTTTTCAAGATGAAGAAGACATGTTCATGGTGGTTGATCTTTTACTTGGAGGTGACCTGCGTTACCATCTGCAACAGAATGTCCACTTTAACGAAGGAACTGTTAAGCTGTACATTTGTGAGCTGGCACTTTCCTTGGATTATTTGCAGAGATACCACATCATCCACAGGTGAGTAAAATTCATTCAAGGGACAGGCTGCTTTCTTTTGACAGAGCAGAGGAATTTTACAACATATCTGATTAAATGGTTCTCTTTATTCAAAAATGCTGAAAAATTTTCATTGTTATCCAGATACCAAACTAAACTATGCTGTACCATAGATCTTTCAGTGCCCAGGACAAACCAGTTCCTCCAAATATGTTGTCTCTGTCTCATCCACCTACCAAAGCTGCCTCATGATTTTGCAATAAAGAACCAAAAAAAAAGTATGATCTTACTTTCTGAAGAGGGAGGATCCATATGAAATCCCTGATCTGAGGTACTGTGGTAGATGGAATGTTCTGTATTACTGAGAGAAAATTCAAGCAAACATTGCAACAGCCGTTTTGCTCGCAGTTAAGACTCTCACAAGTCATAGAATCATAGAATGTTCGAGACTGGAAGGGACTTCGAAAGATCATCTAGTCCAACCTCCCTGCCAGAGCAGGATCCCCTAGGGCAGCCACACAGGAACACATCCAGGCAGGTTTTGAAAGTCTCCAGAGAAGGAGATTCCACAACCTCCCTGGGCAGCCTGTGCCAGTGCTCTGTCACCCTCACAGTAAAGAAATTTCTCCTCATGTTGAGGTGGAACTTCCTATGGTCTGGCTTAAACTCATTATTCCTTGTTCTATTGCTGGGCACCACTGACAAGAGATTGTCTCCTTCCTCCTGACACCTGCCCCTCAGATATTTGTATACATTAATAAGGTTCCCTCTCAGTTGTCTCGTTTCAAGACTAAATAGCCACAGTTTTCTCAGTCTCTCTTCACAGGAGAGATGTTCAAGTCCCTTAATCATCCTTATAGCTCTCCATTGGACTCTCTGCAGTAGGTCCCTGTCTGTCTTGAATTGAGGAGCCCAAAACTGGACACAATATTCCAGGTGTGGTTTCACCAGGGCAGAGTAGAGGGGGAGGAGACTTCCCTAGATCTGCTGGACACACTTTTCTTTATGCACCCCAGGATCCCATTGGCCTTCTTGGCCACGAGGACACATTACTGTCCCATAGATAACTTACTGTCCGCTAGGACTCCAAGGTCTTTTTCCATGGGGCTGCTTTCCAGCAGGGCAACCCCTAATCAGTACTGGTGCCTGGTGTTATTCCTCCCCAAATGCAGGACTCTACACTTGTCCTTATTGAACTTCATGAGGTTCACATTCTCCGAGCTCTCTAGCCTATCTAAACCTCATTGGACAGCAGCACAACCTTCTGGTATATCAGTCACTCTTCCCAGTTTTGTATCATCAGTGAACTTGCTGAAGGTACACTCTATCCCCTCATCCAGGTCATTGGTGTTGAACAGAATTGATTCCTGGGGAACACCACTGGCACAGGCCTCCAACTTGACTCTGTGCTGCTCATCACAACCCTCTGAACTCTGTTGTTGAGCCAGTTAACAGTCCACCTCACAGTCCAATCTTCCATCCCACATTTCTTGAGTTTTCCATGAGGATGTTATGGGAGACAGTATCAAAAGCCTTCCTGAAGTCAAGGTATATGACATCCACTGTTCTCCCTACATTCACCACTGGTGAACGTGGTACATTTATTGTGGTACATTTCCATGTATTTTGCATACATTTTCCTTTCTCAGTGAATATTTTACAATGTGGAGCTCAGAATTTTGGCTGACCTTGGTTTTTATGCCTTACGGAATATTTTTGGTGAAAAAATTGATGAGCGTTTGTCCTGGTTCCAGCTAAAACCCCTAATTCTGTTTAGTGATTTTTACTTTTCAGTTTAGTCTCTTCTAAAAGGCTGCACTTTCTGAAGTCAGCAGCATGTTTTTGCAGACACTGTGTGCTACTGGCAGTGATAACACCTGATGTTTACAGTCACTGACTGGGACTGAGATGCAGAAAGGCTCTTGCTGATACTTATTCTATAGTGACCAAGGCCACTGCTGGCTCTTGTGTGCCACGCTGGGGGTGCCGGGTGGTAAGAGGGGTCACAAGTAAGTAAGAGGTTGCACCTCTGGGGGGTAATAGACAGGACAGGTGATCAACAAGAATATTCCATTCCATATACGTCATATTTAGTATAAATTGAGTGATCACGAGAGTTCCTTTCCTTTTCTGCAATGGTCAGTGTCCTGGGAGGACTTCGTCCAATCTCCTGCTTTTGATCTAGGTCTGAGTTCCCGAATCCAGCTCCCTTTATCCATCTCCCACCGCCGCTGAGCCTGGGGCTTCCCTAATGCCTCCTGTTCTGCAGCATCAGTGGGGATTGCTATTGGGGTGGGAGTGGGGTTCAATATTGGGCTTATATATAGTTGTATATAGTTCTTTATTTTTAGAATTTTGTTATTATTTCCATTATTGTTTCATTAACGCTGTTCTAGTTTTTTCCCTTTCCTTTCCTTTCCTTTCCTTTCCTTTCCTTTCCTTTCCTTTCCTTTCCTTTCCTTTCCTTTCCTTTCCTTTCCTTTCCTTTCTTTTCTTTTCTTTTCTTTTCTTTTCTTTTCTTTTCCTTCCTGTTTGGGAGGAGAGGGGGCTAGAGACCATCTGTCCATGTTCAGTGTCCGGCCCAGCCCTAACCCACGACAGTGTCTTTCTCACCCTCTTTTAATGATGAGACATTTTATGCAAACAGGCTGTCAAAACACTGATGAGAGAATCCATTTTGTAATCACAACTTGTATTTTGCTACAAGCCTGTGACTTAAAAATGTTTCACAGTAAAGCCAGTGAAAGGTGGCAGATGTCTTGAGGGAATGAAGGACTGGATTGAAGTCATTGTGGTTGTTTACAGTTTTTTGTGACAGTGGCTGCATTGCCATGGTCCAACCGTGAAATCGGGCAAGACACTTTTTTCTCTTCTGTATTACTTAATCACGACTAGTAAGCACTTGATTTTACTTCATTTTCTCTTTTCCAGTGGTTGTAGTATAGAGTAACACCACTGACTTCAACACTTGTTGATTTGCACTGAGGCAGAGGGAGGCATGGAGCTCTGGAACTGATTGTTGTCTCCATTTGGTGACAAGTTCTGGGGGTTGATTTTTTCTTTGGCTTTAAACTATAAGTTTTCACAAAGCATGTATCAAAATACCTGTTCCTGTGGCAGATCTCAATGGCAGATTAGCCATTGCCTGGTCTAGTCGAGAGGTGGCGTCCCTGCCCATGACAGGGAGGTTGGACTAGATGATCTCTAAGGTCCCTTCCAGCCCGTGCCATTCTATGATTCTATGATTCTATGATTCTAAGGTATGAAGGATCTGGGTCAAGACTCTGCTGCAATATAGATGTTTATTTTGAAGCTGGCAGACCTGAGCGTGGCTCCTCTGCTTCACCACTTCCTGCCCAAACCATCCAACTGTGGCACAAGAAGCCTTTCACCTCTCATATTCCCACTAATTACCATAAAATATCGAATGATCAACATGTCTGTGAACATATTATTTAGCCAGGAGGGTCCCAGTTACTTAGCCAGGCGAGCCTCCAGCCTTGCCGCCACTGGAGCAGCACTCTGTGCCATACATGGCTGACATCACGAGGGCAACAGATTTCAGTTGGCTCAGGAGCTCTGCCAGCAGTGATGCACAATGAGCAGAGATGTAGCCATCACTTTATCTCTGCAAACACACCATCTCAATCAATGAGACGGTTGGTGTTTACACTTTGTGGTAGCAGACCTCAGTAATATCATTGTGACCAAGTGCTTCCAGTCAGCATTCACATGCTAGCCTACAAAACTGTATTAGAGCTTTCATTTTTAAATAAGTACATTGGCAGCAAAAGGGAAAAAAAGAAAAAGATGAGTGAGTCACAGAGTCATTGAAAGAGCCCCCAGCTAAATTTTGTCTGGGCTACAAAGAAAGAGTAGTTGAATGATTCATCAGACTGGGTAGGTGGATTTTCAGATTGCATTATTAAAAAGAGCTGAATATATGATGTGTAAGTCAGGAACTTAAGTCCTCTTCAATATTTACAGATGTGTATGAAATGTGTTCAGGTTTCCATTACTATTGCACCTGGCAACATGCCAGAATGTTTTTTTCAAGATTAACCTGCAACCCCAGGAATTTGCTATAACATGTCATAACAAAGGGACAGGTATTATTCCGGCATCTATGAATGGATGTAGAAGAAGCGTCTATATCAGTGCTGGGCTAGTTCCCCTTGGATATGCCTTGCAACACCTCTCTATTTGCTGATGTGATTAGTGTTCTGTACTTTGAATGTTGTAATCATATCAGCAATAGGAATATTGTTTCTGCAAGGACAACTTTAGCCATAAATAGTATAAAACCCATTACTGTTCTGGTATGTTTATCAAACTTGTAATTTTTATTATTCACATCCATGTATATAAAATTCATATTTGTCACACACAATCGTGCAGTAGTGTATTTATTTACTAAGGCACAAGAATGAATGCTGCACTGTGTGTCTCGCAGCTCTATTGCAAATGATTATATTTACATATATGTTCAGCTAGAATTATAAAAACTTTAAAAACAAAAGCTGTAGGTTTCAAGCTATGATTTGAAGACTATCCCGGGCAAATTTTTCACTTAATTTACACATCAGCTGATTTAATATTGAGATATCTCTAAATTGTTAGTCGCAGGTAATGGCTACATCAGGAAAACTTATTACCTCACAGCCTTGCTGTAATAATATTTTATCCACATTTCCGAAATGAAAAGAATAATTCTTTAAAACCGGATGAGCGGTGTTTATTACATACCCTTGGATCCAGCACTCACAGAAAGGCTTCTTGCAATTCACATGGTCTCATTCATTCTCAAAAGTTGGATCATATCTGGCATTCTGCCGTTTCAAGACTATGACTGAACATGTTCTTTCCAGGGCTGCTTGTATAATACCAGTGAATAATGCGTTGGATAGAAGTTTTCCCATCAAAGGCTGAATAAACTTATTTCAGTCATGAGTAACTCAACCTCCTCCTTTCACAAATGTTGCTGTTCATACATTTCAATAAAACCACCTGCTTCCTCACTA